AATAAGAAGGAACTTACTAAAAAATATATAAAATATCTACACTAAATATGAATATCATAACAGATTTTTTTAAACTAAAAAACTATTTAGAAGTAGTTGCTAGCAGCTTTCAAGAACTTATTTTGGCATTAATGTAATAGATAACTTCGATCAACAATATCAATAATAAGAAGGTAGATAATCATTTTATATCAAAGAATTTTAGACCCCATCATGACCTTGGATTTCATTTAAAAAAATCTAATAAAACACTAGTGGTGGTACAGTCAATATCAAAATACGTCTAACAGTTTTTTGCCATGAATAAGTTAGGGTTGGGTCAAATAATTACATAATTCAATGCACATCTGCTTTTCTATGCCTATACTTTCATTTGTAGTAGTAGAATAGCTTTCTGCTTTCAGCCAAAACCGGGGGAAATGACGGGTCGGCGAGAATAAAAAGTATGATAAAATAATAAATTATTTATACGATAAATTTATTTAGTCCCGAAATGTAACTGGGTTTATAAGTCAAATGTATTTTTTTTTATTGTAATGTTAGCTTGACAGCTTTTATTTATTAAAGTCAGCGCCATTTTTTGAAAATTGACGTACGATAGTATTTAACACTACACACGAATTTTAATTCACGTTTAAAAACAGTATTTAATTAAAATTATAAATAGTCATTTAAAACTATGCCAAATAAACTATGATTATTTGTATTGTAATGATTTTTGAGCATTGAAAATACTTTTATAATGTAATGTGCGTGAAAGACGTTTTCAAATGCGTTAAAATGGGAAATGTGTTATATGAAAATGAACGGTATTATTATTGTAATAGGATCGGCATGATTTTTGTAGGTGTAATTGCTTTTATAATAAGAACTTATATTATTACTATTGTATAACAAAAGGATACATTGTAACAAAATATATGTGATCCCTATGTGTCTCCTAAACCTACGTGTAAGTAGTTCTACATTTTATAAGACATATTAGTATTTTTATAATTTATTCATCCATTCATATTTACATAAGTAATCTCACAAAATGTAGCATTTCGTTATTGATTTCACAATTATTATAAGATAATAGCAGAAAAGTATTGTTTTGCGTGTGTTGGAATGATATTATTATTAATTATAGGTATATGATGTATATTACATGAATTGGACACTATAGTGATTGTATGATTCAGTATTGTATATTCGATTTAGTAAGATGATCTAACGTTTCTACGGTCTCAATATTATGCATTTACTTTTTTGTTATTCTAGAAACTATTGTTTGCACAAAAATATAGCACTATTTTATTTATCTTAAGTATACCATTCAGCAGTAGTATTTTAACGTCTTTACCAAGTTGCAACATAAAATTGACACTCCTTTAATAGTAAAGTCTTCAATGTACTTATATTCTTCTTCAAATTAAATTAATAAAACACCAATTGGGTCCACAGCTTCGACATTTGAGCGAAACGAATTAGATATTTATAGTAAGCTCATATTATTATTTTCATTTAAGTTTGTTTAAACAAAGATATATTAGTGCTGCAACTTATATAGATAGAACTTTGTATATTAGTATTCAAAAATGGACTTACTAAGCAACATTGCAAAAAAATATTGGAACTGTGTCAGAAAGATCCCTTTGAAGATAAATCAACAGGCTCGTAGCACTAAAGTAGAAGTGGGATAGAGCCAAGTAGCTTGCGAAATTATAATTAGAGTGTACGGGTATGGGCAGCTAATATAAAGAAAGGCAATTATCAGTGTGTAAGGTTAGTATGTACCTTATCTCGCAGGGCTCTTCAAAGCTATATTTTCGCAACACTATATACATACTTTAGCCATCATCAAATGCTTTTCACATCTATCCGTTCATTTGATTTATACAGATAATCTGCACATCTGCAATTTTATTAACATCACGAGCTATTTATTATCAAAAAATCAACAAACAGAAGAGTCCATTTAAAGTAGCCCTGCGAGGTAAAACATTAGTATGTATGTTTATATTAGCTAAAACAAGATGAGGCAAGAATAGTGAGAAGTGAGCTTGAAACAAAAAGGCAATATAAAAGGCAGGATTTGAAGTATGGAACAAAAATTGAGTCCATCCAATAATGAGATTGCCAAATACATAACAAAATTATATACAAACGAACCTTATATCTCAAAAGACGTAATGCGTAGATGTTTCTTTTGTTAAATCCCATAAAATGTTTCGTTATTTTGTAGGAATAATGCCTTTAGACGTAATATTGGTTTAAATGAAAATTATTTCAATTTCAGTGCCTCATATTTAGAGACGGAATATAATTATTTAATCCCTCCGAAAAAAACCTGTTTGCCTTATTTTATTAGTGTCATTGTTTTATATTGAAGCGATTGGATAGACGCTAGAACATATTATATAAATATAATTAGTGTTTACATTATTAGTATATTATATGAATTATTAGCTGATAAATAGGTGTATTTTATCTTCTCTATTTGATGTTAACATTAGATCATTATCGACGTTAGTGTATACGTTCGGGCAGTTTGGTTATTTGCTAACTACGAAGTAATATTTTCGCGAAAACTTGTTTATTCATTAATTTCAATTTAACCGTTTGAAAAAAAAATACAACACATTTTTTTTGAGTTTAAAAAATAAGAAAAAAATTGAAGAAATCATATAAGTTTGTTAGAAACTGTACATATAATGTTAATTATTTTTTCACTTCTCCGCTAAACTTGTTCGTATTTTTTTTTATTTATTGAAGTTTAATAATTCAAACTGCCTCCAACATTAATTGTATAAATCATACTTATATTATTATGTAAAACTTCGAATATTCCTTCGGAGAGCATTTAAGTATTTATTAAATCCCAGGGTCCAATATAAAACACCAATTTCACTTAGCCCTTGGACTATCCTGGAATACCTAGCCCTAGCCTTCTATCAGCAGTAGACCTTAGTTGGTTAATCATTTATGAAGGTATATTAAAAAAATATACATTGAAAAATATATAAGTGGCTTGATAAGAAAAATATAAATAAAAAGGTTATGCAAACACCATCAGCCGTTAAAGAACTTATTGAAATTATGTATATTTACTTTTTATACGATATATAAATAATAATCAATCATACACATTAAAAAATACTTTTATATACAGCTTAGTAGCAGCTCGACGTGAATGCGATGCCACGTTTCTATACAAATCGACAGCTGTAAAGGAGTGTCCGTCTATAGTAAAATAGCTCAGCGTGACTATTAAATGATATAGTAAACGTCTCGTCACGTTGACGTCGCGCTGCAGTCACGCCAGCTCTGGCAGAGGCTTGAATGTATATTTTGCAACTATTCATGCACATTTTAGTCAAATTAGTTTTTTTTTTAAACGAAACAAACAGAAATCTAGTGAGAAATGTAGATATTTCAGGGATGAGACAATAAAATGTTTGAAAAAATAAGAAGGTTCATAATAATAGCCACATAAAGTCATGCCTTAGCTTCACGAATCAGCTGCTATTTGTAGCAAAATTTATCTGCCTAGGAAAGAACAGAAAATCACATTTTTCCATGAAATACTCTCAGAATATTGTTTGAACGAAAAATGCATAATAAGATTAAATAAAAGGAATTTGCAGTATATCTTCAGTATAACTAAATCTACTGCTGTTTCCTCCCCTCCCCTTGCATGCTTTACCAAAGTGTTCATACAAGACTTGGGCGGTAGAATCAGCCAGTCATGTTCCACTTCATTATTATAATAATTGCAGGTCCCCAAGTCTGAACCTAACATAAGTTCACGCCTAATTATAATCCCTTTGGACCATGTTAAGCAATATATCTATATATTTGATAGGGCCATAGATTTCATAGAATTTAGTAGGCGTAGCTTACCGTAGAATTTTATATTTATCATAACTAACCATCAGTGAAACGATATTGCAAGGAATCGCAAAGATATGGTGTGTCCATTCGAATCATCATCATTATTGGTGTGATTTTATGAAATAAGAATTTTCTGAAGATTTTATGTGTTATTAAATTAGATTGACTTGTAGTATTGTAAAATTGTAATCAACTGTGCAAAACAAGACCCATATTATACTGTTTATAATAATAATGAATTTACATCGAAAAGTATCGGCAACAGCTCAATATAATTCTACAACATTATAAGCTACATTGTAGTATAGCATTGTAGATGAATTCACATTAAATTTATGTTCATGTGCCATAAATATGACGTAAAAAAGATGGTTCATGAACAGCCGTGAACATGTTTTTGAAACTGTACACATTTTGAACGTAATATTACAGTAACCCTGTCACTCGGCTTGTCCTGTCTAATCGCATTCAAGCATCTTCATATTAATATTATAATAGTCAAATCATATTTATATCTGCCAACTGACTGTGTCCATCGGAATATCATTTTGAATATTATACTAATATTGACATATCTATTATACACAATTTTTCTGAAAAATTTTTGCGCACAGTAAATAAAAAATATCAATGAAATTATAAAACAGCGTAGATCGTCTGGATATCCAGGTAATTTGGTTCAATTTAGTTTTTGTATTAGAATTTATTTTCAATGTGTACCATAATGGTAAATAATGATAGTTTATTTGTTGTTAAATGTGACATTTCGAAATATATTCTGATGTTTTCTTATAAAAGAAATAAATTAATTAATATTGTTGTTTTATTTCGTAGTTCACCCACAGTTTGAACGTAGATAGTCCTGTTGAAATAAAAATATTCATAGTTAAGTAACAAAATATTGCTTTATTTCAATAAAATCTTATGGAAAAATAATTTTATGTAAAATCCTAACTATGTAAAATATAATTTATCTTTTTAATGGTGTATGGTAACTTTGTTGTTTAGAAGTAAATATTATGTACCTACAATAAAATATATGATACCTTTGAGTATTTATAGAACACCTCAAAATAATCTGGAATTTTAAGTTCAAAACGAAAATGACTACGTTTTTCCTTCCAATTTCTTTTCCAATTATATAAAATAATTTAACACGAATCGAAAAGTTTATGGTCAAAAATATTTTCGTTGGTTTAGTAAGAACTAATCAAAATAGTAGAAAAATATATGAACGTATCATATTAATTGATACTGCAATTTAAATATTACGTAACTATTTAGAACAACGGTTCTGAAAAAATATACACGAACACTGTAAAAATATTTCAGCAACTTCAACTACTCGTCATAAATATGACGAATACGTATAATTTGATAAATAAATCACAAAATGATAAGCGTTATGAACGCGATTGTACTTTCACAATTACCTGTCTGCCAATAGATGTCGCCAGTGTCTTCACACTTGAAAGTCACAGCAAATATTTAAAAAAATCTCCATGGAACATTTAAGCAGGTTTTTCTCTCTTTGTTCGGTGTAGAGCAGATTCAGTATTGGAGAGATTCGTAATTCAGCGGATAGGCTATTAGATTTTGTAAGTTTATTATCATTTAGCTTTAATATAATCTCGATATCTGTCCTGCACTGAACAAAGGGTTGATATTTTATTCTTTTTACGTCACAGAATATTCTTCACAGAAGATTCTTGCGCTGCAACGATTACCTTAGTCGGTTCTTTGTAGAACAAAATAAAAAAGTAAGGTATGTACAAAAAACACCAATTTAGCCTCGAATGTGAGGTAAATGGCGCCACTCAGAAGGTCTCGTTGTCGAACCACTGCCACATCTTCGGCTTGGTGTAGTCCAGCTGATACTCCTCGCATTTCTGACCTGTTATCCTGAAATACATGAAATTTCTATGAGTTTGATACACTTTTGGAGTAAAGCGAGAAACTACTATAATTTTCATTAGTGGGATTTGAAAGATTACGAGCTCAAGGGTAGAGTTGGAGGTCCCAGGTTCAATTCCCCTAGGTGCAACATACATATAAATTGAATCGACTTAGTAGCTTTTTGGTAGCTCAGGTACAAGACATGTCAGACTCCCAAGGCTCTTCATTTAGCTGACCATCCATCATCATCATTATCATCCAGGACATCTAATCTTCATCGCAGGAGGACGGCCCTCTCTAATTTACCAAAGACCAAAGGAGTTTGCATACAAGCACCATACTGGCTGATGACTGACACCAATGTTTGCGTGTTCAGAGTGTGTTCCTAGGCTTCTAATTTCTAAAGCCTGGTCCGTGAGCACGTAGAATTTTGTCCAATGACCCCAAGCTACCCATCCTTATCGCTCGCGCGTAATTATATTGCTGTCGCGACTGTGCGACCGGCGCCCGCAGTGAGTGTGCGAGCGCGATAGCAACATAATTACGCGCGAGCGATAAGGATGGGTAGCTTGGGATCATTGGACAAAATTCTACGTGCTTACGGACCAGGCTTTAGCTATTGTCTGTGACTCCTAATCTTCTTGTGTGTATGGATCAACACGGGTAAATCAGGCGACTTTGAAGATATACTGGGATTAATTACTTTACAATAAAGCGTTTACAATGTTTCAGTTGAAGATTGAAATGAGAATGAAGTCACACCGCACTTCGATTGAGCGAGACGGTGCCGTATTGCGGCGCCGCACCGCACCTTGTGGCTTCTCACTGAGGTCTTTCTAATAGTGTAATAGGGAAGATGTCCGATGTCTCACCTGGTCCTCCTCACGCACTTGACGATAGGATGCGCCTTCCTGAAGCACTGCGGGCCCAGCACGTTGAAGTACGTCAGGCCGATCTGCGCCGACACCAGCGAGTTGGTGCGCCGCAGACACTCGCGGAACTGCATGTCGCAGCTGCAGTGCGACCTGCAAGAAGATTGGTGGCTTGAGAATATGGGGAGACCTAATTTGAAAATTATAAATAACTTGAAAAATCGAACTGCCTAAGGCGGGAATTGAGCCCACGACCTTCCGCATGCCGGGCGACTGCTCTTCTAACTGAGCTACTTAGACACTGGATGAACCTGTCGAAATTTTCAAGTGTAATACGCTGTTACGGTCAGCGTTTTTTTCATCAATGTTGGGTATACCTACCCTTAAACAGCTGGAAGAGCAGTCGCCCGGCAAGCGGAAGGTCATGAGTTCAATTTCCGCCTTAGGCAGTTCGATTTATTTAAGTTATTTATAATTTTCAAATTGGTTTGAGATGCGACTCTTAACGCTAAAAATTAAATAACTATGGGGAGACCTGTGAGGAACCAATAATAAGGTGATCTCTGTGGCGTTTGATGTAGGTGGTACTATTCATATAGGAAGCTTGAAGTCTTGAACAGCATGTGCAACTGGATTTTGGATTAAGAACAACGAGCAACAACGACATTTGTGGAGCAACAATCAAGCATTTTTTGCACTGAATGTATAACTGCTTGTCGCAAATGTAGTGTGACCTGCATGCATCCGATTTTGTTACTTGAAGACACATGGGTTGATCAGTGGCACGTTTGAGGAACATGATATAGGGTTTGTAGCTTAACCATACGTGTATGAATGTTTGAGAAGCCTGAAATGGCTTGAGGAAAGGAAGAAGTGTTTTGAGGGACGTTTGAGGAGCTACTAACATAACAAAAGGGACATGAGTTGTGAACTTTGCGCAGTAAATGCTTTAACAAAGCTTAAAGCAACTCGTATTCGGAAGAGCCTGGATGCGGGCAGCGCAGGACCATGCATTGTGAAAAACATTGAAGGCCTTTGTCCAGCATTTGACGTCATTTGGCTGAAACGAATGAACGAATTCGTATAAGGGCGGATTAAGCATGTGATTCTTATGTCTCATAAATAAGCCACAACGTTAATTAAATCCTGTCATTTCCCGATAAAATTGTTTTCAGTTCGTCAGTGACATTTCTTTCCCGCTATACTAATCATGCGCCTTATAATAAATTATAGGGCACAATAATCCAGTGATAGACATTTGATACGCGCAGCAACGTCCACTGCAAGTCTGCAACACGCTGACCTGTATCCCAGGAATCAATATCCAGTCAAACCAGTAAGAAGTTCAAATCTTCTCAAGCATCGTGTACAGTGGGCTCGTGTTGTTTGACGTATTTCCCTAATAGAAAGAAATAGTTGTATCGAATCATTTGAAATCATTCGTAGATACACTCTGTATTAATTTTAACTGTGGGAACTTTGCTGATTTCTGTCCTATTTTTTGTGTGATTATTTGTCTGTACCTATATCAAAATTGTTTGTTTCCCTAATATAAATAAATAAATACGAAGATATGGAGAAACAGTAAAAAGCAACAGGGGCATCTTATGAACAAATAACATGTGACGGAACACGGATTATAGAAATATCACGGATCATAATTTCTGCAGCAAGCTTCGCTGACATTTCGACGTGACAAATACACCCTCTACTCTAGAGAAACCTAAAAATGGTATGGTATGGGCTAAAAATGGTATGGGTTATATAGTACTTCTTATACAAACGATTTTGTAGTATCAGGTCATTATGTTTTAACCGCAGGAACACAACATGAGTCTCCTACTTACCAAGTAAAAAATTGGAGGATTTGAAAAATCCCTGATGTGATCTCGTCTGTACAATATGGATTGGTTCTGCTGCATCCAGGATCCGTTATGGCGTGCGCCCGCGCAGCGTTTACGCAACGGATTATCTAACATCGCAGGACAGTCTGGCTGCTAGTTAGCACATTTTAAACATAATATCTGTAATATGCAGCACAAGACTCTGTTGAAAGAATTGTATAATTAATAAAAACTGTATAATTGTTATGACATTAAATTATTTAAAATATACGAGTATTTAAAAGTTGTACAATTAATAAAAACTATATATCTAATTGTTATGACATTAATAATTTAAAATACACGAGTATTTAAATAATATTGAATGAATTGCTAAAAGCTAATTGTGAATTGGGTTTATGAAGAGATGAATTAGGAAATCGCCATATAAAATTGAAACTTTAAAGGCTAGATTAGTCCTGACTCTAAAAGCTAACCCTATCGAAATTACAATACCTGCAACCAAATTGATCGGTAAATAATTGGAACTACAGCTCCCTTCCAACCTCTAAACTCTCTTGGAGTTCACCAACAAATAGTTAATTGTATCTTCAGTCACTATTATCTAGACACCACCATGATGGCGGTACAAAAATAGCTGGGGATCTGTATGTATTGTTGCTGGCACCTATTGTTTTGTGTGAAATACCCAATTCTGATGGAGCCCTTAAGAATGGCAGTACCTACATTTATCCAAGTTTCGTAGTCAGGGGACGCTTATGCTTGGCTAGTAATTCTACGCAAACCGCGGCGTCCAAAATTGTTCAAATGATTACTAAACCTATTACATAGGACCGTTAATTCAAATTGCTAGGATCCATTCCCCGGCGACAACGAAACCGCTTCCTACCGGTCACCGGTTGGATAACACCGGTTCTTACCGGAGTTACAGCGTCGGAAGGGGAAATGTGATAATTCGCTGGATAAATGCATTGTAAATAATATAATTTTACATTTATAATGACTTTGGCATCATTGTAGCTAAAGTTGACGAAACTTATGACATTGAGCCCGATTCTTTTGCATTTAAATTAAAAGTAAAAGTGAGTATTGTTGACTTCTTGCAAAACGAGAAATTACAAAAAAGAATCCATCAAATGTATTGAATTCAACGTAAAACATTACATGTTAAATCGATAATTTGTAATTAAAACTTACACTATCTGGCACTGGGTTATAACCTCTGTTTTGACCCACACTCTTAGATTAATAAAACCTAGATGGATAGTCTTCATACAAACGCTTCGTCAAGAGTGAGGCAAAAATCTTATGTCATTAGTGTCAATTTTGTTGGGTAGTGTAGACAGTGAAGGCGATTTTCCCGAAAGTAGGGAAATTTTTAATACGTTTTTAATTATTTTATAATTAACAAAAACAAAACGCATCATGCACTTACTTATTTATTGAATTCAAAGTACCTACCTAATAACAATAAGATAAATCGACTTAAAAGTCTCGATTTCATAAAAAAGGAAGTGTATTTGTACGGCGAACAATTGGGAAATAAATTTCCTTGTTACTGGTATCATTCCCGTATTTAATTTTTGAAAGCCAAATTCAAGCAAAATACGCGTCGAATTGTAGTACTTACTTATGAAATGTAACACTGGTCACTTTCTTTCGTTTTTCTGATGTATTTTAGACACCCTTTCACAGCACAAACCGTTTTAATTAATTAAAATTCGTCGGACGTGTTTACCATTTTTTCACTTTGACAGTTCATGTGACGTTTACGGGTAAGCCGTGCCGGCTTCCTAAAAACTGCCTCACCTTTCGTGCACTGACTATCTATCTAGGCTTTATTAATCTAAGCCCACACTATAGTAGAAGAAACACAAATTGATCCACCAATGCACGCCACGCCTACCACTCGCTGCAACTGTTATGGCTCGGGTACACTATGCGGGAAATTAATCGAACAGCCACACCGAAGTATGGGTGAAGTACGGCGAAACGAACTGAAATACGTGTTTACACTATCTGTCTCGATCAATTTCGCGCATAGTGTACCTGCGCCATTAGGCAAATGAACCGATGCGTATCACAATGCTGCATTCCACGTTTTTTATCAGTTTCAACTCTATGACTTTCATCTTAGTGTCCATTGCGAACGCATATGAATTCTTGTATTCATCCGTTTCAATTTCTTAAGTCTGCTGACATGGAAGACAGACTGTCAACTTTCATCACCAAGAAATAAAGTCTATTACTAATTTTACGAATTCCAATCTGACTTGAAATCCAAGCCAAGAGAAAGTGATCTCTATGAGTAAGGAAATAAAGAGGTCTGTAGTAAATCAACTCGTGCGCACTTTGACACGCGTATTGCGGTCATTGCGGTTGCGTTTTTTCACGGTATTTTGCGGGTAGTCTTCGTTTTGTTTTACCACAAGAGCGGAAATCCAGATAAAAGATTAATCAATGTTGATAACGAAGGTTTTTTTTCAGTTGTCTTTCATTAAAAGAGTGATAAATTGGTTTGTTAACACCATGCAGCCGGGCTAGGATGCGCGCATATACTTTATTGACGTCAAAATGTATGGGCAAAATCGATAAAATGGCATGATAACCGCTTATCGCGGCGCACATCCTAGTTCTATGTGAGATATACTCCTAAGCCTTTAGTCTCATTAACCTAAATAGATGGTAGCTCATAAAGTAATACAAAAACAGTATATTGAACTGGTTTTTAAAGTGATTTAACCAAAATAGAGCTAAGAAACAGTCCCTCAACCTACATAGTCCTCTCAGACTCCAGTTACATTATAAATCCCGGGTTTAACTACGTAATTTTCCTGAAGAATGCCTACACAATATTTATCGACGAACCTGACCTACAGCTAGCTAGTACTATTATTTTAGATTTTCCACGATTTCTAAAACCTAGCCGAATCTCGCCGCTTGCGACACCTCCGGATATTTTCTCTCCGTGACACCGGTCGCGCAATATCTACTACAAACGTGACTGATAGTCGAGCCTTGATCGCAGGCTCGATTCCTGAGGGGGTCAGGAAACAGATCTTCAATTTAGAACATCTGTGCTAAGATTTGGTATAGTTATAATTTCATTTCTTATTACCCGACTGCGCCAGAAGGAGGGTTATTATATCTTATTCTTCTCCTGAATCAAATGTACCTACTACCTGCTTTTTCTATTTATTTATATTAACCGGCAGACAGTGGTGACTGAGTTTGTTGCGGCGCTTCTTCTCAGCACTTGCCAAATGTTGGTCTCGAAGCGCTGGTAGGGTAAAAAGATTATGAGACATGTAGAGGCTCCTTAAGAGCAAAATGACGATTTGTAAGAACTATTTATTAGTCTAAACAAATAAAGAAATTTTGACTTTGACTTTGACTTTATCACAATAAGTCCATACTGACAGAAAACCACAACCGATGTGTTTTCAGCACTAAACTTAAACCGTTAGTTAACTCTTTAACCGCTGGTCTACAAAGTCATATAAAGCTTTAAAACTGACCTCTACACCCAATTAATTAAATTGAACAATCTTTCAAATCAGATGTTTCTTGCACATCTTATAAATATTTTTGTAACATGTATCATTACTTAATTCAATTCAACTTGACCTGACTGCAAAGATACCATCACTTACCAAATACGGTTTGTGATTGGCTAAAAGCTGGTTAACTAAACATCCACGCAGAACTGGATCTACCATCTATACGGCAACTTGTGACGTAAGTTGCGCGTCGGCATGTGCGTTTGAAATGATGCAGATATTAGATAAGGGGCGGTCAAGTGCACTATAAATTATGGTTATGCAATTGATACATCACTACTTAATATAAAACAAAGTCGCTTCGCTGTCTGTCTGTCCCTATTTTTAAAACTATACCACGGATTTTGATGTGGTTTTTTAAAAAGATAGAGTAATTCATGAGTTTAAAGTATAATACATTGTACCTGTACGAAGCAGGGACGGGTCACTTTGAAGAACCGTTTCTTCTCCTTAAGTGGTGGAGAATTATGAAAATTCTATCTTCAATCGATATTATCATTCGTAAATGGTTTCCTGCCATACCTGGTGAACAGTCCAGTGTTGGTGAGCCCGTACTTGGTGTCGCCGGCCTTGATGTAGATCTTGCAGGCGTCGTGCTGGCGGCAGCAGGTGTCCGTGAAGAAGAACAGGCCTAGTTCGCCCGAGCGCGCCGTGGCGGAGTGGCCGTCTCCGCACCAGACAGTTCCTGCATTGAACAGGTAAGCTTCAGAGCTTGGGATATCGATAACATTGTTAAAAAGCCATAGATCAAATAAAATCATCAAATCACGACACGAGTAAACACACCGTTCCTGCATAGAACAGGTATGCTTCAGAGCTTGGGATATCGATAACATTGTTATAAAGCCATAGATCAAATAAAATCATCAAATCACGACACGAGTAAAAAGAAAAGCTTTGAATGAAGACGAAGGAAGGAAAAATCTCTTATGGATATCCATCCAAGAGTAGTCCATCTACTGCTTATGAGTTGCTAAAATCTAAATAAATTACCTCAAGGATACTAATATCTGTTGGATTGTAAGTGGAGTAAATGAGTTCTCGAGGAGGTAAATCAAGGACCAATGAGCTCAAAAAGAAGGCAGTGACTGTGTAGTAAAAGCAGGAGATCGTAATTTTACAAGTTCCTTGGAGGCTTATTTTCATCAGTTCACTGCCACTGGCTGAAATAATGATTATAATACCACAACCAGCTCACCCAGGTAAGTAGCCTGCACTTTATCCTTGAAGGCATCTGACAAGGAGTTGGCGAAGCTGGTGACTCCAGAAGCCAGGCTGCTGACGAACCCCCGGTCGCTGTCCAAGGAGCCGATGTCCCGGGCACCCACCATGAGCTGGGTAAAGGAAGAAACACCACAATCAGCTCACCTGGATAAATAGCTTGCACTCTATCCTTGAAGGCATCTGACAAGGAGTTGGCGACGTTAGCGACACTTGTGACCCCTGAAGCCGGACTGCTGACGAACCCCCGGTCGCTGTCTAAAGAGCCGATGTCCTGGGTAACCGCCATGAGCTGAGTAAAGGAAGGGATACCACAATCAGCTCACCTGGATAAATAGCTTGCACTCTATCCTTGAAGGCATCTGACAAGGAGTTGGCGACGTTAGCGACACTTGTGACCCCTGAAGCCGGACTGCTGACGAACCCGCGGTCGCTGTCTAAAGAGCCGATGTCCCGGGTAACCGCCATGAGCTGAGTAATGGAAGGGATACCACAACCAGCTCACCTGGATAAATAGCTTGCACTCTATCCTTGAATGCATCTGACAAGGAGTTGGCGACGTTAGCGACGCTAGTGACCCCTGAGGCCAGGCTGCTGACGAAGCCCCGGTCACTGTCTAAGGAGCCGATGTCCCGGGCACCCGCCATTAACTGGGTGAAGGGTTTGCTCAGCCCTGAGGAGATGCTCTTCAGGATACCTCGACCGAGTTGACCTGTAAGATATAGAGCAGCGTCTCTTATCCTGTGGTCTGTGGATCTTTGGGTGTCCGTGAGCTTATGTATGGAGGTCTGCAACCTTATCTATGGATGGACTATTTTTAACAATCATAAATAAATGCCACCAAAAAACTCATAAAAGTCTAAAACTCATAAAACTCATTATTTATTTTTGCAAATAGGCTTTTAAAAAGCACCAACCACCTCTGCGGCCTAGTGGTAAGACCACCTGCTTTAGACGCAGAGGTCCCGGGTTCGATTCCCAGTGGGGGCATATTTTTCTGTTCGTTTTGGTTGGTGGTAGGGCTTGTCCTAAGTCCGCCTGGCTAGCTACCACCATCTTACCTAAGTCTGTCGCCATAACAACAATGTTAACAGCATTGTTGTGTTCCGGCAGTTAGAAGTAAGATAGCCAGTTCCTCCGTGGTTGAGGATTCCGGGTGAAGCTCGCTTCCACCTTCGGCCTGATCATCACTTACCATCAGGTGAGATACAGGCCATGAGCTTCCTCATTGTGGATTAAAAAAAAAACTTTTACACGTCCCAGTTCGGGACAATAAAAGGGCCAGTGCTGAGAAGAAGCAGCGCAAGAAACTCAGTCAGTATTTTCAATAAAAGTCGTAATCGTATTGCTGCGTCGTAATCGTATTAAAATTGAACTTGATTTCCTAAGGGGTCCGTTGACAAAAAAGGTTAATAAACGCTGATGATCATCATCAGACTGAATGACAAATCAACAATATGAGCAATCATAAACGCATTTAAACACAATATTTTATAGGCGTCAAAGCCTGTTTCCCACAACTATGCAGAGACACTCTTGAAAACGGTCGCGTAGATCGTTAAAATTATGATTTGTGGTTAGGCCGGCGACACGTCGACAAGGAAGCTTTATACAATACGTAGCTAAATAAAATCATCTCAAGACGAATCTCGGTGTATAAAATAAATCAATCGCGTAAGTATTTAATGTGTTCGATAAGTAATTAAATGCTAATTCATGTAATTGTCCAGTGAAATAAGAGACAACATTTCATGCCTCGAAAGACACTTTACAATCTTATTGACATTACCTACTATCATAACAAATCTTCATTTCCTTCGCGACAAATCGCAGTCGTGTCTCCGGCCTTATTACGTAATCCGTGACAATACCGCGTTATGTCACAGTGCATTATCAAAACCGGCCATCGAACTAAAGCGCCGGTTGTACGTTACGTACATGTTAATGTTAGATTATCTTTGAAAATATTGATTAAACATACTACACTATTAAAATAAGTTTAAATAATTATTTCTTTGAACCAAACTAGTCCAGGACAAAATCCAGGAAATTGAGACAAAGATTTTTATGACAACTCGCAGAAGAATAATGTTGGTTTTTTTTTAAAGGTCTGAAATACTAAATAATTCTGAATTTCCATTTGGGAGACTGTAAGTTAAGAGTATCTTTATTTTGGGACGTGTATAAGTGCCCTAGAAAGGGCCAATGTACTGAATAAACTATTTGAATTTGAATTCCCAAATATGAAAGATTGTATTTAATTTTGAATTTTAATGATTGTTCAGTTTTCAAGTTACGTAAGAATATTTCATGTCCAATGTCCAAGTTTCAACAACATGAACTAAAGATTTACAACTCTGTGAGATGCTAGTAAATTTAATTTCAAAAGAGCAATAAATAAGTTAAGTTTGCAAGTTCCATTATGCCTACTCTCAAGTTTAAGGCATGACGACAAGATTTATTCATATAGAGTGCACAACATGTACCCATGATTCTTGTCTTTTCATACTTCTTGAACTTACTAAGAAATAATTTACTTTTTATTTACATACCCAATCCACCATTCTCCTCTCGGCTCCTCAGCCTCTCTGCTTCCAGCTGCTCGTTCTGTTTCTGCATCCTCTTGAACAAATCGAATATCCCCTTCGGGACGACCCTCTCCGCCACTGATTCAACCATACTCTCCACCACACTCCCAGCTAGACCTACTAACACCGATATAGCGTTAGTCTTGGGGGCTGTTGTAGGAATCACGTCTTTTCCATCGTAATAATCTTCTGGAACTTCCTCATCTTCTGAGTCAAGCTCAGTGAAGATTGGCACGTCTTTTTCGTCCACTTCTATGCTGTCTATGTTGAATCGAGGTTCCTTAGTCGAATTTACTTTCAGAGCATCGGTTTGATTTGCTATTGTTGCGTTTGCGTTAGTTACGTTAACTGTCAAAGTTAGATTTGTTTTGGCTATTGTTACATTTCCTGCTTCTAGTGTTACATTGGATTTTGTTATTTCTGTTGTAACATTCACTTTTTCAGTTGTGCTTTCTGTGTCAACAGAAGTAGCTGAAGTTTCAAAGTCAAAATCTGTTCCTGTAGTAATGACACTTGTTGTAGTAGAAGGACTTTCTGTACTTATACTAGACTCATCTGAAGTTTCATTTAATAGTTTTGGTTCATTAGTAGTCGTACTAAAGTTAGAAGACGTCGTGGTTTGTACTATAACTGTTGTAATATTTATATTACTATCAGAAGTAGTTGGAATGCTTTCCGTAGTGTATGTGGTTTCAGTATCTTGTGTCGAAGAAGGCAACGTGACTGTTAGATTTATTTGCACATTTGGCACATTTCTTACAGTAGTCGATAGAGGTATAACAGACAAATCAGGATCAGTGGTACTTTCTAAAATACTAACTAAATAATTCTCAGTTGTACTAACAAGTTCTAATGGTATTACACTAAAATCTGCTTCAGTGGTTTCACTAATAATTTGTAGGTTTTCATTCATGTTATGTATCTCAGTTTCATTTTGGTTGTTATTCTTCTTCTGTTCATTGACAATCGTGTATCTGTGGGATTCTTTGGAGTACTTCTGATTATTAGAATTCCAGGGTATGGCTCCATATCGTTTGTTGAATTTCACAGAGTATTCTTCATCAAAGTCTATGATATTGTTCTCATAGTTGTCGTCGACCGGTTCTGTGCTTTGAGTCGGCAGCGCTGTGTTGTCATGAGCTGGTGAACTTGGAACTAAAAGTAATATGGCACATACGACAAGTCTCATTTTTCGTCTTACCCGATGATACATTTTATTGTATCCATCTGAAACAAAAGACAGAACATTAAAATAATAAATACTAGTTACTAATCTCTAGGTTAAATGCTCATGAAGCAGCATGGGGTTTACGAAGTTTGACACCATGGTTATAATTTCAGTTGAACATGCAAAAAATAAGAACTTCGATGAGGCTCTACATTCTGATGGAATAATTGGGGACCTCGATTGCTTATACCATCTTCTACTCTGAGCTTCTACCATGAAAAATCCTCGAGCGGCCTTAGGGTTTAAAATAAATCAGAGTTAAGTTGTTAAAACATAAATACTACCGTTAATAAGTGCTTTTGTCGATCCCATTGTAATTTAGTTACAGACCAAATGGTATTTTTCAATCAATTAATTCAAGCTTGTTACATAATAATATCGATAATAATATTAATCATTGACCCACTATTTATTGCATTATGACATAACAAATCAATCACCTCCGTCACAGCAAAAAACCACAATGCTGTCAAATCATAGAGTCAAATCAATCCAAAAAGAATGAAACTTGTATCATGGCCAATTGATATTGATTCTATTCGTACTTTTGGAATACAAAATATATTTCATTGGAAGTACTAGCCTATGCACGCGGTTTTCCTTGGTTTTGGTTTTACTCCAGGACTTCTTTACTTTCCAACATTATTTCCAGTATTAAACTCCCAATTTGTGTCAGTCAGTCATCAGTCATACACACACGTACTGAGATTATCTGCAGAACACTCTAGGCCAAAATAATAATAAGTACCATCTACACCTGTGACATAAACCAACCAACCAAAATCCTTGAGTTCGCCTTTGTCCAGCAGTGGACGTCATTTGGCTGAAACGACACAGTTCAAAACAAAATCTTTGTCGCTGTGAGGTGCTCTTAGATCAATTAAACTAGCGCGGATTTTAATGCCGTTTCTAGCAATAGTTTAGCAGTAGTAAACAAATTAAGTAATTATAATGCATTCCGGAAGTGGAGTAAGCGCATCAAAGTAGTCTCTATCAACATCTGTCCAGCCGGTCGTAACACAGGAACTGCGCGTTACACAGATAACTGAAGGATGTGTGCAAACCTTTTATTTTGCTCTTACATAAACGTGTACACGATAGCAAGGTACAGTATGCCCTTGCCCACCCCCTTTGTATAAAATGTCCATGTATTTTTTACCATTTTCTAGATATCAGGCGCTGGATCGACTCACACGTCCCAGTATTTATTAACCCTACCACTGCTACGGGACAATAAATGAGCCAGAGCTGAGAAGCATTTTTCATCACAGAACTTTTTACATAGTGCTCGAAGGCACAATTATATTGCAGAACATAACTTGTCTTAGAACACTTTGTTTAACTTTGAAAAGCTAATTAGTTTTCAGATAAACTGTAAAATTAGATTTTTTGTTTTAACAACAAGTAGACATCAAGTAGATAATGTCCAAGCTTCCTGCTATTTAAAATCTACAAACGAATCGCTTTCTGATAGTTCTTAAAGTATAGGTCTGGCTAACTGACTCAGTGCCTGAGATATAGGAGCGAGACTTCAGATTTATACGCTTTATCACGTCTTAATATGTCAATGTCACCCCTCCCGTACCGCAATGACTAGGTGCTAGACCTTTAAATATGTCAATTGAACGGTGGATTTTTAAAACTGTGAGGCCCTATAAAGCTTCAACCACACCAACGTGTGCAGATCGCCATCGCCGGCGCGATCAAAGGCCGATGACAGGTCGCGCGACCGATGACAGGTCGAGCGACCGATGACAGGTCGAGCGACCGATGACAGGTCGAGCGACCGATGACAGGTCGAGCGACCGATGACAGGTCGAGCGACCGATGACAGGTCGAGCGACCTATGACAGTTCACGCGATTGGCCTTTGATCGCGCTGTGATTGCGCCGGCGATGGCGATCAAAACGCGTTGGTGTGGTTGAAGCATAACAGGGAATTCAAATTAATCTAACTGAATCTATCTACATTGTGTGAGGATATAATTGATATTAATTATTTGGATAATTACACGGTTGGTTAAAGCCAGTCAAGCGCTCTATGAAGAGTTGCCAAAGGCGATGTTATCGATCAATAAGATATTTAACGATTTGAAATACTTTGTATTTTTTTATTTTGCATAAATTAACGTAAACTTAAAATTTCATTACATTTCTGTGTACCAATTTTCGTAACAATCAATAAGTTACTGAAATTGAAATAGGTAATTCCCTTTTTTGGAAAATTGCACTTTTGCAACAACACGAATTTATATCTTATTTCAAATTTTATTGCACCAGACTACAAAAGCGAATTTAATAATATTTTATATGCTATTTTAATAGCAGAATTAATAAATGAATTTTTGGTTTTAGTGCTACTTTCATGAAAACAAGCCAACAACTAATTATGAAGATTAAAATTCGATGACAATCTCCTTTTTTTTAAAATTCTTATTTGTTTATTTATTTGTATTTAATTGCTTCTATTTCGCAAAGTAGCCATTTCAACATTCTATATCCAGTAAAAAACTGTCAATGAGACACTAAAACGGGCTAGATCTAGCCAACAATGTCACAGACAGACAGACAGTTTTTTACTCTCGTTGCCCCGGTGGTCGCGAATTGATTTCCAACAATCAACTGTGATGCAACCGCGAGATCTGGGGGCACGGCAGTGCCCCCACCAAGTCGAGCAAAAAAGCGGCACGGCCGTACCATCCTTTTCTCGAAGCAATTCAGGCCATTTTCGACCGCCTGTAACTTCGTTGTGGATAAAACTAGAAGGCTGAATTTTCATTAGCTATGCAGGCATTGTAAAGACACGGTATATTTAAAATTACCTTCAATTTGAACCAGTAGTTTAAGAATTACAACGGGTCAAAGTTACTTAATTTTGTCACTCACTGACTCACTGACTCACTGACTGACTGACTCACCGATCATCAAAACTCTAAGGCACTTCTAGCAGACCTAGAAGCTTCAAATTTGGAATATAAGTAGTGTTTGGTGTATGAATCAAGGAAAAACTAAAATATTTGGGGGCACGGTAGTGCAACCGCCAAGTCGAGTAAAATTTTTCAATTTCGGTCCAGTTTTCTAGATACATAACTGCTGTCTACAAAATACAAAAACAAATGAGATCCCATCAAAAACAATACTTGTCAAAAAAACACGTGTAAATTAAATTATTTAGTGCGATGGCCAAGTCAATAATTTATGTAAAACGTTAAAGATTTCCTGGCCTGGACTTGGTATTACATGGATCTCACAACTTTTTACCGTAGAACAACTGAGTTGCGAGACTTGGTTTTTTTGACAAGTATTGTTTTTGATGGGATTGGTTTTAAATGTCAACAAATGATACATTAAGTCATCAAAAGCAGCAATTACAGGGTACGCGAAATGTAATAATGCATTTAAATAATTTTCAGAGAATTGGGAAATTAAATTGTCGTAGAGTTGGAAAAAATACAGAATTATCTCAATTATGGAGTTTCATCATGACACAAGGACGGCCACAAAGAAACTTGTCAAACATTGCCCTACATTCTGCAGTCGGATAAATGGTGCAGTCATCGTCAATCGTGACACCCAAAGTAGCCAAAAAGTTCGCAACACGTCTTTGTTAATGAGAGGGTTTTCGCGAACGAAAAATCCGCCAGATGGCAATACGTAGACGCGAGGTCCAAATGCTGCATGATTGGTTAATTTTGACATGACATTGACAGATAATATGTCAAAATCCACCAATCACGCAGCAGTCAGACCCCACATCCAAGTTCCGCCATCTAGCGGATCTTTCATTCGCGAAAACCCTCATTGGAATATGGTTATGTTGCGAACTTTACATAGGTACATGCTTGTCTGCTTGTGCTCGTTCCCCCTTAAAGTTACACCCTAGATGAACACTGTTGTAGAGTAACTTTTACGTCACTTTAAAACAGGGTTCAACTATGGTGTAACTTTTATTAATAAGGGGGGTTAGGTATACCTACGTTCTACATATTATATCACTAAGAAAACTTTAAAAAAACTGCATTCCCATCAATAAGGAACATGTTATGCCGACTCTATCTTTCTGTCAACCACAGTAATAAGACGTTTTGTTGTTATGTCACGATTACGCAACTTCTCTGGGAACACGCATAATAATTACACGCATTTCTTCGTTATTATCTTGTTCAGTTCGATTTTGAGTTTCTGCAGTTGGAATTAAACTCAGAACAATCACAAAAAGTGATTCTTCGATAATTCGATTAATCGTCTAGAAATCGAACCGAAACCCTCCAGATCAGGAAAGATCAACTTTTAAAGGTGTTCATGATGCCACACCTAATGTTAAGTGAGATGCAATCTAGTATGGTACATCTAATATCTGCCCTGTAAGTGCCTATTCACTCCCGCCTTGAAGAGGCGAATAACTTATGTTCGGAAAGCCAGCAGCAGGCAGCGAATTCCAGTCCTTAGCTATTCGCATTATAAAAGTTAGTTTGCTTTAGTTTTTGTAAATTAATATTTCCTTACATAAATTATCTGAATAAATTAAGCAAATTAAAGCAAGGTAAAGTTCCTGCTAAAACCAGATTTGCAAGGTTTTGAACGAGGTTTTAAAATAGCTCAAGTTTTACGAATACGAATAGAAATACCTGAACCAATTAATGCAACAATGTAATGTAACCTTCACAATGTAGTCAGATTGCAAATGCCTGAAATCCAGGAGCTCTAGAAGGTTCCCAAATGTGCAAGCCAGCAACGCATGACGTTGCCTCACCGTGCGCGCGCGCCGGTAATCCACTTAGCATGTTAATCATTGGCGATTCGTTGCGCTATCGCATTTTTACCGAGAAGACACTATTCAGCCAGATTTGATTTGATTTGATATGATTTAATGGAGAGAAAAAAATGTCATATTGGACGCCGCGCGGCTCCATGGTGAGCCTCAAGCAAAATGTCTAGATTCTCGTAGCCACTAACTAAACTAAATGTTTATAAGTAGGTATGGGCAACCAGCAATTTAT